GGGTTGATTGTGGGGCTTGAACTTGGGGCCTGGTGCTGTCCCTAAACTCATTTTGCTCAAGGCTAGTGCCCTACCACTTTGAGCCACAGTACCACTTCCATTTTTCTGGTGGTTAGTTGGAGATAAGTGTCTTGCACCTTCCTGCCTGGATTGGCTTTGAACTGAGATCCTTAGATCTCAGCTTCCCAAGTGGCTAGGGTTATAGGCATGAGCCACCAGGGCTCAACTAATTTTGCAAATTTCTTATATTAATAGCCTCATAATTTGGTATTGTGACATTTGTGGATGCATATTATTTGCTAGATAAAAAAGTTGCCTTTCAGCTTTGAGCATTGAGTTGGAATTTACCAATCTGGTAACAGAAAAGTATGTTGTTTTTTGTCAGTCATGGGGCTTGAACTCAGGGCCTGGGCACTGTCCCTGAGCAAGGCTCAGGGCTGCTCAAGGCTAGCACTCTACCACTTTAAGAGCCACAGTGCCACTTTCAGTTTTTGAGTGGTTAATTGGAGATAAGAGTTTCATGGGGACTTTTCTGCCCAGCCTGGCTTTGAAGTTCAATCCTCAGATCTCAGCCTTCTGAGTAGCTAGGATTACAGGCATGAGCCACTGGCTTTTATTTATTTTCATATATTAATTATCCTTTATATTTCTTTGTGAATTACGTCTTGATAGGCTTTCCTTTTTTTCTGATGTGTTTTTTTAACTTTCCTGCCTAACAGTATTCAAGTATTAAAAGTTCTGACCATCTTTCACATATGTACATTTATGTTGATATTGAAAGAACAAAAAAGAACTTGGGCCAAATAGTGTTTATATTTCTTGTATCTTTAGCTTCACTTAAAAGTTTTTGCCGTCTTCCACATGAAAGTGCCATAATTATATCTCTTAGCCTTTTACCTGTAGAATTTCTCTTTTTACTTTGACTTCAAAAGATTATTCCAGATCTAGCTTATGAAACAACTTAGTTTTTGTTTGTTCCTAATGATTTTAGGAATATTTTCCTGCTTATATATTTAGTTTATAATTCTAGTATTTTCAGTGTATACTTAAATTAACCGACTCAGCTTATTTTGGTGTCATTCTCAATTGTCACATCTTCAGAATATACCCATTTAAAACAGTCTCAGATTCTGAGATTGCTTCTGTTTCGGTATTTATAGCTTCATTTTAAGTTAATATTTTACAGTCTTTAAGAATGCATGAAGCCTGTTGTTGACCACATATATGTGCACATCTGAGGGAAGCTAGGCAGAAGACACAGAATCAGAGGGAAATGGGAAAATATACAACAGGGGCCCATCAGCTGCACTGGACATGGATGAAAATGAACTAAGCAACTCAAGGACAGCAATGGGAGGGAATGAGAGGGAAATAGAGAACAGCTAACACTAAGCTAAAGGAAAGAAATGTACATACCACTGGATGTGGAAGAAATAGTTGTATAGACACCATAATGACAATTTGCCTCATGGAGGTTAGAATATGTTTGTGACTTTAACTAAGTATCAGTATCTCGCAATACTGTGAAATTTGTAAAATTTATGTTAATCACTTAATCACAAAAAAATTATAAAATAAATGCAATAAATGTTCAGCCTTAAAGCTTCAAAAGCATTGATATTTGTAATCTGGTGAAATAAAGCTATTTTAATTTCTCCCCTCCCAAAAAGTAAGAAGCAGTCATCACTTACATGCTTCCTTTGCAATGTCATATGAAGGGAAAATCTAATTTAAAAATAGATTAATTAAGCCAGAAGCTGTCAGCCACTTGGGAGGCTAAGAGGATGAGGATCATGATTTGAGCCAGCCTGGGCAGGAAAGTTTGTGAAACTACCTTCTCAATCAGTAGCTGGGTGGAGCAGTGTACACCTATCATAAAAAAGCTGTGTGTGTGACTGAGATTAGGAGAATGAGCAGACTATTCCACAAGACTCCCATCTCCATGGAGATGTGAGATGTGCTAGTATACACCTGTCATCCCAGCATAAAATAGAAAGCCTAATATAGAAGAATAACAATCAAGGCAGATGCTTGGGCAGGAAGTATGACAGTGTCTCAAAAGTAACTATTGCAGCTGGGAACCACTGGCTCAGACCTCTAATCCTAGCCACTCAGAAGACTGAGAAGTGAGGATTGTAGTTCACAGCCAGCCTGCCTGGTCAGGAAAGGCCGTGAGACTGCAGTTAACCACCAAAAAAGCTGGAAATGGAGCTGTGGCTCACTTGGTATAGCATAACCTTGGACAGAAAAGTTCAAGGACAGTGCCAAGACCCTGAGTTCAAGCCCCAGGACCAGCACACACACAATAAGTAAATAAGTAAACAAATAACTCTTACAAAATGAAGTTGGAGTCATGAGTCTGTGGTAGCTTGCCTGCCTTGCAAGTGCAAGGCCCTGAATTCAAACATTATTACCACCAAAAAAGAGAGTAGATAAATTAATGAAATTGACATCAGTGCTTATTAAGTGAACTGAATAGTCTATATTTTGTAATGTTTAACAAACCTAAATGCAAGCCGCATTTATAGAATATACACTGAGTAAGATATGAGTTAAGCAACTCTTGTGTATGTGCTGGTACCATGGCTTGAACTCAGGGACTGGCACTCTTGTTAGCCTGCCTACTCACTCTTGGTACTCTATCACTTGAGCCAAGCCTTCAGCTCTGTTTTAATTAGAGATGGATTCTAGTGAGCTTTTCTGCCTAGGGTGCCTTTGAATCCCATTCCTCTTGGATTTCAGCCTCATGAATAGCTAGGATTACAGGTGAGAACCGCTGGCTCCCAGCACAACTCTTTTAGCAATGTATTGCTAAATTATAAACATATGGTATCATAAACAAGGTCAAATGCACATGTGTATCACATTTACTAAATGTACACATTTACTAAATAATGGTATATATGAGTGGATTCTGATGGTGTTAACTCCTGTATAAGTAACAGAACAGCTTAGCAAAACGAATACCATGATTCTGAAACATGTTTTGGGGTTTTTTAAAGATAGGGGGACACATGGAGAAAGGAAGGGTGGGCCAATACAGTCATTATATTCAGTGTGTATATGTAGAATGAAACCAGGTGACTTGAGGGTATGGGTGGGATTTGGAGAAATGAGAGGTGTGACATTGATCAATATAAATTGTACTCATAAACTGATGAGGTGTGAGACCCTTTGTACAAACTACTTAAAGACAATTGTAAAAAAATGTTTTTAAAGATTATATTACTACTAATTTGGAGCTAAGTTGGGAATTTTAGACCAATAAACCACAAATAAAGAAGAAGAAATTAAAAACCTACAAAATGGAATAAATTGAGAGTTCCATACCAAAAAAAAATCTTCCCAAAAGGACATTGTGGGGTTTTTTATATGTATTATATATTTATATATACACACCCCAAGTTCTGCATAGGACATTGTGGTTTTAAGGGAAAAGATTTTACTATTACCACGGAGAGCCTGAGTGTAAAGTAACGTTTGTCATGACCATCTGTGTGTAATTAGGGTTTTAGCAGGACAAGATGTGGGGGAGATCTTTTGGATAGAGACAATTTTAGGAAGGAAAGTACCCCCGCCCCCAAAAAAGTAAAACACAGAACATTGGGAGAACAAAGGGTGTGTGTGTGTGTGTGTGTGTGTACATGGAAGTATAAGTAGGAGAAAAAGTTGGAGGATGGAAAAGTAAGTAGAGAGTTCAATTTGGTAAGCATTAGTGGCATGTCTGCTGATTGATAAAGGAAAAGGAGTAAGGAGTAAGATTCATCCTACTAGCCACATGCAGTTATTGAACTCTTGAAATGTGACTAGTATAAATTGAGATATCTATAAGTGAAAGCATATGCTGTGATTTTAATCTCATTGAAAGAATTTATATTTTAAAGGATTTTTGTATGGTTTTTTGTACATTTTCAGTCTGATTCCAAGAAAGGTTTTTGTTATTGTGGTTGCTTTGGTTTGGTTTTGTTTTTGTGGTAATAGGGCTTGAACTCAGGTCCTCACACATCTCTTGCATTTTACTTTCAGTTATTTTGCAGAGAGTCTCGTATGTTTGCCAGAAGCTGACCTAGGACTGTGATGCTTGTACTTACACCTCTCATATAGTTGGGGTTACAGTGTATATACTACCATGCTTGACTTGTTGTTTGAGATTGGGTCTCAATAGCTTTTTGTCTAGGTTGGATTTCAACTATGATCTTACCATCTCTGCCACATATTAGATGGGGTTACATGCATACATCACTACAGAAAGTTTAAAATTATGTGATTTATATTTGTGCCTCAGGTTATTGCATTGATGCTATTATAAGTAACATACAACAATACTTGATAATACTCACTGTGTGTTAGATTGTCTAGAACTTGTTACTCCTCAGAATAAACCATATGATATAGGTGATACATTTTTAAAAAAAATAATCAAAGTGCAGAGAGATTAAGCATCATTTCTGAAGTCACTGTGCTGCTAAGTAGGAAACCAGGATTCAAGTGTGTACTTCTGGTTTCAGAGTTTATGATTTTCCCAGCTACTGTGGCATGTCATTATTGGACTATCAGAAGTGGAATGATGTGATTGGAATAGAGCTTTAGCAAAACTGTAATAAAGATAAATGTGGGAAAGATTGTATTTTTCAGCCTTTTTGTTGCTTAATGTTACTTTTCACTAATATTATATCTTTCAAGTCATCTTTGCAGCTGTATCTTTTTTTTGTCAGTCATGGGGCTTGAACTCTGGGCCTGGGTGCTGTTCCTAGCTGTTCAGCTCAAGGCTAGCACTCTACCACTTGAGCCACAGCTTCACTTCTGGTTTTCTGGTGGTTAATGGAAATAAAAGTCGCACAGACTTTACTGCCCAGGCTGGCTTTGAACAGTGATCCTCAGATCTCAGCCTCCTGAGTAGTTAGGATTATAGGTGTGAGCCACCAGCACCTCACAGCTGTACCTTTTAAAGTATCCTGCATGTTAACTACTCAAATGTTTTGTCTTTCTTACCTCTGTAGATTTGATAATGGGCTGCATTAAAAGTAAAGAAAACAAAAGTCCAGCCATCAAATATACGATTGAAAACCCTCCAGAGCCTATCAGTACAAGTGTCAGCCATTATGTAGCAGACCACACTACAGTGACACCATCATCATCAGCAAAGGGAGCTTCGGTTAATTTTAGCAATCTTTCCGTGACACCATTTGGAGGATCCTCAGGAGTAACTCCTTTTGGGGGAGCATCTTCTTCATTCTCTGTGGTGCCAACTTCATATCCAACTGGCTTAACAGGTGAGACTTAAACTGACAGTTATGCTGAGAGCATAACTTTATGCAGTACTTACTTAAACTCTGTCTGCCAGAAACTTACATGTACAGATTAAAATCTAAGAGAAGTTAGTCAGTATGTACATGGATATGGTTTGGGGAAACTTAATGATGATCTAAAGATTATCTTGTGCTGGTTTATACCACTAATTATTAACTCATTGTCCAAGTAATTATTGGGTGTCTGTGTGGCAGGCACTGGTTTAAAACTTCCATCAGTCCCTCTGGAAGTTTATTAATTCTCAGGACTATAAAATGCTAGCTATAAATATTAAAATACTATAGCAGTTAGTAAATAAATGTTAGATGGCAATGTAGCAGTAACAGAATGTTTGTTTCTATCAGATACTGTTGATTTTAGAAAGGAAAAAGAGTTTAAATTTATTTATTTATTTTTATTTTTTTGCCGGTCGTGGGGCCTGAGTTGTGAGCCTGGGCACTGTCCCTCAGCCCTTCAGCTCAAAGACAGTGCTCTACCACTTGAGCCACAGCGCCACTTCCAGCTTTTTCTGCTTACGTGGTGCTGAGGAATCAAACCCAGGACCTCATGCATGCAAGGCAAGCACTCTACCACTGAGCCACCTTCCCAGCCCTATTTATTTATTTTTGTTGGTCGTGGGGCCTGACTCTGGGCCCGGGTGCTGCCCCTCAGCTCTTTAGCTCAAGATTAGCACTCTACCACTTGAGCCACAGTGCCACTTCCAGCTTTTTCTGCTTATGTGGTGCTGAGGAATCGAACTCAGGGCTTCATGCATGCAAGGCAAGCACTCTACCCCACTGAGCCTCCTTCCCAGCCCTTAAATGATTATTTAGCTCCTCAAATTTTCTCCATTTTATACCCATGAGTAGATGGATATAAACTAATAATGTTTCTGGCAAGTCAGTGGATTGTACTGAGTATAGGATATACATGCTCAGATTAAGAATATATTGTTCAGGCCTGAGGCTAATGCTCAGTAGTAGACAACTTGCTTTGCAGGCCTGAAGTTCTGGGTTTGCTCTCCCATACCACAAATCTTAAAATGTTCAAAAGGATACCATGGGGGAAATATATCGTTAATAATAATATTAGTCATTAATGACAAAATATGTAGATAATAACTATTGTATTCTTGAAAATTGTTTTCTTAACAAAAAATGATGACTGTGAGGTAATAGGTAGGCTACTTAGCTTAAATCATAATTTATTCCATAATAAATTCCATAATTTACACAATTTAAAATTATATTATACATAATAAATGTATACAATTTTTAAAAAACAGAATAATGAGAATACCAGAATACCTGCCTTGAGTAATTGTAGACACTGAAATGTTGAACATATTGCATACATCTGTTCTGTTGTAATTTATTTAGATTGCACACAAAGTTTGGTTGTGTAGTATGCTCATCTCCTTGTGCACATGTTGTTAAATGTGACAGGGTTTTGGGGAATGTATGCTTGAACTCCTGTCAGCCATATAATTTAATTTCTAAGACAAATGTGACTTGTTTTTACAATAAGTATAAATAAATAATCCTATTAAATCTTTTATATATTTTTAAAAATTTTATTGTAAGGGTGATGTACAGAGGGGTTACAGTTATGTAAGTCAGGTATTAAGTACATTTCTTTTTGGACATTGTCACCTCTTCCTTCATTCTCTTCCAGTTTTTCCCCTTCTGACCCCTCTTCTGCTCAAGTTGTATAGTTCATTTCCAACATAGTGTCTGGTGAATATCACTGCTGAATTAGTTCGCCCTTTGTTTCCATTTCTTTGCTTCCAGTTCCCCTCCCCAAATCAGATGAACTTACATACAAGACAAAGGGTACAGAAATGTAAAAAAAACTATTAAATCTTAATAATTCCTGTTAATGATTGTGGGGGGAAATGTACATCCGTTGCTTCTAAGAAATTGAGAAGATAAAAAAGAAGAAAGAAGATCAGTGTCAGTCATCCTTCTAAAGGACTGACTTGAAAGTTGTATTTTCAAACCAGAAATATTCCTTCATAAACTGAAATTTAACTTATTCCCCTTCATCGATAAAATTTTATGATTTAGAGACTATTTTCATGGAAAATCTCAAAGAACATTCTATGAAACTGCAGCTGTCCAAAGCCTAATTTATTTTAAAAATACTAGAGACTAAGGAGGACACTGACCCCAAGCTTTTTTTTCTTTATTTCTTTCTTTTTTGCAGGCAGTAGTTCTTTATTTCTTTTTTATTGATTTATCTGTATCATGTACCTTGATTCTTTCTTCCTCTGCCAGGTGGTGTTACTATATTTGTGGCCTTATATGATTATGAAGCCAGAACTACAGAAGACCTTTCATTTAAGAAGGGGGAAAGATTTCAAATAATTAACAATACGTAAGTACTATGAATATTTTGTGAGAGAGAATTGTTGGCAGAAACCTGATCTTTACATCAAAACCATTAAACTGATTAATGATCTGAAGATGAGAAAGAGGCCTAAGTCTCTGACTGTTGAGTTGGATAGGATAATGCGTTTGGCTTCTTGAGATACATGGCATAATACTACTGCAGCAGAAGTTACACTCCCACAAAATAGTAGGTTTAATAATGAAGACTTCTGGGTGTGATAGTGTACATCTATAATGCCAACAGCCAGGAGGCTGAGGCAGGAAGATCCACAAGTTTTGAGGCCAGTCTAGGCTACATAGATCCTGTCTATCCTGGATTACATATCAAGATTGTATCCCAAAAACAAAAGAAAAAAATGCTTATAACGAGAATTCTGTGTAATTACCAGATGATATAAAGATGCTATTTCTTTACTAGAGTGCAAAGGGGTTTCTTTGTGATTCTTTCATACAAATACACATGTACTTTGGTCAGATTGACCCCCAGTGTAACTTTATTATTGCTCTTTCCCTTTTAAAAATAGTTTTTAACTTCTTCCTCCCTCTCTGCCACTTAAGCCACACCCTTCCAGTCCAGTTTTTGGCTGCTTATCTTGAAGTCTCACAGACCTTTTTGCCTTGGCTGACTTCAAATCACTATCCTCTGCATGAATGACCAGTGGCTGGTCTCATTCTATTTTTTACATGTTTGTGAGGTATTTTGATCTATTCAACCACCTTAACACCAAAGACTTCATTTTTCCTAAAATATACAAGGGAAAAATTAGGTAAGAAATCCTTATTTCCCCAAATGTACCAAATTGTTTTCTCTTTATGTGACTCTTAGACTTTTTGTCACTTAGTGATCCACCAAAAAAACTTGGTGCTTGTTAGGAAAAACAATAATTTTGTTAACAACCCTAGCAGCCGTTTTGTAATATCTCAAATCACATACTATGGGCTCCTTGCTTCCAGTCATGTTTTTCCTTATCTTTATTTCCATCCATTGCCAATTATTGTTCTAGAAAATAAAGTATGATTTTGTCTTTCTGCCTTAAAATCCTTCCATAGCCAATAATACTATCAAGATAAAAGAAAAACGACAGCAACGATAATCATGCATTGAGAATTTGCTGTGTCTGCTTCTCTTTTCTCACTCTATCACACACCCATACTGAAGTAATTGAAATTTTCTGAATGTCCTGGAGTTTCCACTCTCTCCATGTCCATGTGTGACTTCTGTTTTTTGTGTGTAGGGCAAGTTCTGTCACTAAAGCCACACTGCCAGTCTTCATTTCTTTTGTCTTACCACCCTACTCATTCTTTAAAATATAGTTCATAGGTCTCTTCTAAATGATGCCTCTCATACCTAGCTTGGTCCCCACACCCTGTTTTATTGTTTCTCTTGGGTATTTATTACAGCACCCTGTGCAAACCTCAGTCATATTCTCATCAAATTTTAAATTATACTTTGTCACTTGGCCTGTCATTCAGAGTGGCTTAGGAGATACTTGAGATACTGGAGATATATTTGCTTGTCATAATCAGGATGCTGCTTCTGTTTATCCAGTGGGTAGCAGTCACAAGTATTAATAAACAACAGATTTATCAACTCAAAAAGTGTCAGTATCAGTGACAGATGGTGGGCTCCGTGAGGTTAAGGACTATCTCTGTTTTCCACACATCCTGTTAAGCAATCAATAGGTCATGTAAGAGAATGAATGTTGGGAAGCTGAAATGTGTATCAAGGACATGGGAGCTAAGAAGGAGTGGACAAATGGAGAGAGGAATGGTGGGCAAATACAGTCATAAAATTCAATGGAAAATAAATAGAAAATAAGACAAGCGGAAAAGGGATATATGAGAGAGAGGGAGAACAGTAAGGTGACACTGATCAAAAAGCATTGTACATGGGTGTCCGTGTACTAGCTACTCAGGAGGCTGAGATCTGTGGATCACAATTCAAAGCCAGCTCAGTCAGAAAAGTCCATGAGACTGTTATCTCCAGTAAACTCAGAGAAAGCCAGAAGCGGTGCTGTGGCTCAAGTGGTGGAGTGCTCATCTTGAGCACAAAGGTGCTCAGGGATAGCAGCCAGGCTCTGAGTTCAAGCCCCAGGACTGGCCAAAAAAAAAAGGCATTGTATATATAAATGAACATGTTAAATTGAGACACCCCCCCCCTCTTACTACAACTATTTGAAGATTGATTGATTGATTAATGCCAGTTCTGGGGTTTGAATTCAGGGCTTGGGTACTGTCCCTAAGCATCTTTTGCTCAAGGCTAATACTCTACCATTTGAGCCATGGCACCACTTCCTGCTTTCTCTTTATATGTGATACTGAGGAATGGAACCCTGGACTTCATGCATGCTAGGCAAGCACTCTTGATGTAAGCCACATTCCCAGCCCAAGAATTTTTTTTTTAGAAGTAGTCCAAACAGAATATTTTGAAAGATTTATCTCCCCAACTCTAGTCAGCATTTTATTATCTTAAGTTGAAAGAATAATCATAACTAAGGGGCTGGGGGGAGATAGGAGGGCAGGCAGGAAACAAAGGAGAAAACAGCAATGCTTGATAAGAAATGTACTCATTACCTTGCTCATGTAATTGTAACCCCTCTGTACGGTATTTTCACAATAAAAAAACTTGTTAATTAAAAAAAAAGAAAATCATAACTAAAATTTAAGCTTAAGCATGTGACTAGTTGCCAGGGGGTCATGCATATAATCCTAGCTACTTGGGAGATTGAGAATGAAAGAATCTTGGTTCAAGGACAGCTTCAAGATCTCAACTCACATCTGAGTTCACTGATGTACACCTGTGCTTCCAGCAACCATGGGAAGTCTAAAGTAGGCAGATCACAGCTCAGGGGCCCACTGAGGCCAAAATGAGAACCTGTCTCAAAAATAACCATTGAAAAGCAAGATTGGAGATGGGCCTTAAGTGGTAGAAGTATCTGATGTTTTGAGGGGTTTTCTTGTTGGTTTGGAGCAGACGTATATAACTTTACAGCTTTACTTTTGTTTAGTCTTAACTCATGTAACCAATCTTTTAAATGTTGTTCTTTTGAATTCTTGAACAAATGAGTGCCTACATTGCAAAATAGAAATAATACCTTTTACTTGCTTCAGACAAGAACTTTGGTGCAATAGTCTTAACTGGTAACTTTTGTTTTATGTGTTACAGGGAAGGAGACTGGTGGGAAGCAAGATCAATTGCTACAGGAAAGAACGGTTATATCCCTAGCAATTATGTAGCGCCTGCAGATTCCATTCAGGCAGAAGAGTATGGCAATACTTCATATTTTATTTATTATTTTGACTTTAAAAATGTTTTAATGCACATTCTACTTAACCACAACTTTACACACACACAATTACATACTACTTTTAATACAGCTAATGTATCATATTAATAGACACAAGTTGAAAATTAATAATTAATATATCTACTCAGTATCAGATGAATCTGCATTAATCATACAGCATTATGCCTCCTCTCTTTGCTTTATTTTTCTACTTGTTTTTTAAAAATTATATTCATTCTTTACATACTCTACAAACTCACTTCAGTTATATACTTCAGTTAGTATTATATCATGTAAATTTCTTGTCAGGTCCTTACATTGTGCTTGTGTAGGAGAACATGTTTGTCTTCTAGGAAACTCACACTGAAGTATTAACGATTGCAACATGTTTGTAACTTCCAATAGTGAAAGAGCAGGGACACACATACACACACACACACACACACACACACACACACGAGTGCGTACAGCAAAGCAAAATGTGAACAACTGGGAAACCTAGTTCTATGGTAATATTCTTACAGCTTTTAAAAATGAGTAGGTGGGTTAGGAAGGTGGCTCAGTGGTAGAGTGCTTGCCTTTTATGTATGAGGTCCTGGGTTCGATTCCTTAGTACCATATAAGCAGAAAAAGCCAGAAGTGGCCCCATGGCTCAAGTGGTAGAGTGCTAGCTTTGAGCTGAAGGACAGCACCCAGAGTTCAGGCACCACACTCAACCAAAAAAAAAAAAAAGAGAGAGAGAGTAGGTAACTTTTGGTTACAACTTTTAGGTCAAACCAGTTTACCTGGTCCATAAATGCTACTTCATTTTCACTTTAGAGCACTTAGCACAGTTCCATACATATATAGTAGATACTGTTTCAGTATTTGCTTGCTTTTTATTAGTGATGCATATTTTATCTCAATGACTCTTTTCTACTCTATTTGTTGCTTTTTATTTCTTTCTTTTGTCTTCTCCAGTATTCAGTAAATTTTTCCATAGCTGAACTTGTCATTTTTAGTCATTCACCTCCATTAAGTCAAACTCATGAAACTTATACTTGCAACTTACTGAATATAGGTGATCACTCTATTCCTAGAGAATAACTTCTGTTCTCCTCATTGTACTCAGGCATTTCCCTCTGTCACTGACAGAAAGGGTCTGTATTCTCTTTCCTTCTTTTACTATTTCTAGGACTTCTAGGTAGAGTTCAAGAGAAATTTTGAGTAATCTATATATGAAAATACTATAAATGTGACTACTAGAACATCACCATATTTATATTTCGGATTAAAAAATAAAAACCTGGGTTGTATGCCATGCCTTGTCATTCTCCCTATTGTGTTCCCTTCTTACTGATATTTATGTATGGTTTTTTGACTTTGATATTTTTCCAACTTGCAGTACCATTAATTTTTTTTCCAGATGGTATTTTGGCAAAATGGGAAGAAAAGATGCTGAAAGGTTATTGCTGAATCCTGGCAACCAACGAGGTATATTCTTAGTAAGAGAAAGTGAAACTACTAAAGGTATGAACTGTTATTACACTAATGTAAGTAGAAAATTGCCGTGAGCAATATTTTGAGGAAGGTATAATAAAGGAATTTATTTTTACACCTAGGTGCTTATTCCCTCTCTATTCGTGATTGGGATGAGGTAAGGGGCGACAATGTGAAACACTACAAAATTAGAAAACTTGACAATGGTGGATACTATATTACAACCAGAGCACAATTTGATACTCTACAGAAATTGGTGAAACACTACACAGGTAGGTGAATTATTTCAGAGGTAAAATTTATTTCTTCATCCTCTTTAAAGACAAAACCAAGTCTTAAACTTCTTAACACTTATACATAGTATGTGCCCAATAAATATTTATATTCTAATTTTAAAATGGGAAACAAAAGCTGGATAAGGCCTGGGCAATAAATTAAGACCCTATCCCTAAAAAAATAAAACAGGTAATACTTAGTATCTGAATTAGGTTATTAGATAATGTGCTAAACTCAGACTATCATTATAATTCTTTTTTATTGGGGGGGAGGGGAATCCAGTCGTGGGGCCTGAACTCTGGGTCTGGGCGCTGTCCCTCAGCTCAAGGCTAGCGCTCTACCATTTGAGCCATAGCGCCACTTCCGGCTTTTTTCTTTTTTCTTATGTGGTACTGAGGAATTGAACCCAGGGCCTTAGGCATGCAAGGCAAGCGCTCTACCACTGAGCCACCTTCCCAGCCCCTCATTATAATTCTTATATCTCACTGGCTTAATGTTTACATTAGAATTCATTTTATAGCATAGATTTCAAGATGAATTGAAATGTTTTAAAAAGAACAAAAATTTCATTATAGACATTAATAGGGCATAAATAAGTAGGCAAAACTAAACACTTTATCTCCGATACTCTCTTGGATTACTTTACCTTTGTGGGGGGGGGTGTTAATGTACCTTTTAAGATTCAAACACAATGAAATTTTGTCTGTCTTATCCTAGAAAATTAAAGCAACCGTAGACATTCTTGTCTTTCAAGGACCTTTGGAAAGTATCCATTACTAGAGTATTGTGTCTCAAAACTTCTCATTGCCAATTTGATATCTGAATGCAGATCAAAGTGTTCACATGGTAGCACTACAAGAGGGAAAGTTTCCATAGTAATTTTTTCCATAGTGACAGCGTGTTGCAAATTGAGTCTTACCAAGTCAATCAGTAGTCTTGACGTTGATCAAACATGTCACCAAGAAGTGTCATGACTTCTAATTGCCCTTGTAAGAATGTAATTGGTGTGATATCTACATGAGAAGGGGAGGAGTACCTCATACAATTGTATAATAAGGTGTACAAGTAATGCCCTCACAAATCTGTGTTCCCTTGTTTTGTGTCTCCTCTAGTTAAAATTCAGTCTCCTTAAAGGACTTCTTCCTTGATTTTTAGTGTTACAAATTAGTGGTTATTTTATGTAACCAATAATAGTTAGGGAATAAATAAATCCCTAGTGATTAAAACCAAACCTTTGGAAGTAGACAGTCCTAGATTTAAATTTCATGGCTTTACTAATTTTGGAGCCTTGGGAGAATTTCATAACTTTCCAAGCCTCATTTACATGATGTATGTATACAGTATATTAGCACACTAGCTAGAACATAGTATATAGTAGATAATAATGTAAAAAAATACATATTTATAACATTTCACTTCTGTTTTTGCTTCTTTATGTTTTTAGAATAAAGTTGATAAAACATTGTTATTGTTTTTCTACATTCAGGCTTTTTAAAAACAATTATATACTATGTTTATGTAGCTTAATTTTGTAATGCATTTTACAGTGTAGTTTATTTATTTATTTAGATCATGCTGATGGTTTATGCCACAAGTTAACAACTGTTTGTCCAACTGTGAAACCCCAGACTCAAGGTCTAGCAAGAGATGCTTGGGAAATTCCTCGAGAGTCATTGAGACTAGAGGTTAAACTAGGACAAGGATGCTTCGGTGAAGTATGGATGGGTAAGAATCCCAAAATTCTAGTTTATATGTTTAAGTAGTTAACTGTTATTCACTGAAGTTAGCCATGAAATCTCTTAAAACATATGCTGAAGTAGTAAAAGGTATTATTTCTGTAGGAACATGGAATGGAACCACAAAAGTAGCAATTAAAACACTAAAACCAGGTACAATGATGCCAGAAGCTTTTCTTCAAGAAGCTCAGATAATGAAAAAATTACGACATGACAAACTTGTTCCACTATATGCTGTGGTTTCTGAAGAGCCAATTTATATTGTCACGGAATTTATGTCAAAAGGTATGTATATATTGGTGTGGTTTTTTGTTTGTTTTTTGGGGGCGTCCGGTCATGGGGCCTGAACTCTGGGCCTGGGCACTGTCCCTCAGCTCTTCAGCTCAAGGCTAGCACTCTACCACTTGAGCCACAGCACCGCTTCTGGCTTTTTCTGCTTATGTGGTGCTGAGGAATCGAACCCAGGGCCTCAGGCATGCAAGGCAAGCACTCTACCACTGAGCCACCTTCCCAGCCCTGGTGTGTGTGTGTGTTTTTTAAGACTATTTATGTTGGAAAAAAAATTTTTTAAGTAAGTCTATGGCCAAATGCCAGTGGTTAACACCTGTAATCTTAGCTACTCAGGAAGTTGAGATCTGAGAATTTCATGATTCAAAGCCAGCTCAGGCAGGAAATGTTGTGAGCATTTTTATCTCCAATTAACCACCAAAAAAGCTGGAAATGGAGGTATGGCTCAAGTGACAGAGCACTAGCCTTGAGCAAAAAAAAAAAAAAAAGCTCAGAGTTAACACCTATGTTCTGAGTTTAAACCCCAGAACTGACACCAGAAAAGAGAGAGAGAGAGAAACAGAAAAAAGAAAAGTAAATCTAATTTTATACATTTTTATTTTAGTACGTTCAATATTTTTATATAGGAATCTGAAAAGAGGAAATGTGATACTTTATGGAAAAATTATTACTTTCACTTTTTCCAGAGGATACTACAACGTTTAGAAAGAAATTAAGCAGGCAGAATCTGTTTTGAAAATAAATTTAACTAAAGAAAATGGAAAGTAGTGAAGTGAAAAATAAAAAATTGTAAATATATGGAATTAAAATAGTAAAATCAGAAAGATGCTTATGCAGAAAAGTAAAGTTAAAGAAATTCATTTCTACTCATTTTTTTTTGGGTCCGGTCGTGGGGCCTGAACTCTGGGCCTGAGCGCTGTCCCTCAGCTCTTCAGCTCAAGGCTAGCATTCTACCACTTGAGCCACAGCACCACTTCTGGCTTTGTTTTTTGTTTTTTCTGCTTATGTGGTGCTGAGGAATCGAACCCAGGGCCTCATGCATGCAAGGCAAGCGCTCTACCACTGAGCCACCTTCCCAGCCCCATCTACTCATTTTTCATATAACCACAATCCATATATACCCAGAACTTTCAGAAGCTTTCTTTTTTCACTACCATCAATGGAATTGTCTCCATTCCTTTCTTTTTCTTTCTCTCTTTTTTTTTTTTTTTTTGGTGGTCATAGGGCTTGAATTCTGGGCCTGGGTCCTTCCTTCAGCTCTGCAGCTTAAGGCAGTGCTCTACCGCTTGAGCCACAGCATCCCTTCCAGTTTTCTGGTGGTTTATTGGAGATAAGAGTCTCCTGGACTTTGTTGCCCGGGCTGGCTTTGAACCACGATCCTCAGATCTGAGCCTCCTGAGTAGCTAGGATTACAGGTGTGAGCCACTGGCCAGGGCTCTCCATTCTTTTCAACCTAGATCTTGGGTGACAAAGGTTAATTATTGCCAGAATCAAGAGAATAATATTGCTTTTCTCTGTTCCTAGTCTGGTGACACTTTAGAAGAGGAATCAATAGTCACAGAATGTGATGACTGACTGTATTTTGCCCATTTTGAATCAGATCTGTCTTAAAATTTATTTATTGATGTTTTGAATCAGACTAGTTAAATCACTAAATTATGTCACCCTCTCCAGTTTACTTTGACCAATGAAGTAGTTCCATCTAGTGGTGATAGGAGCAACTACAAACTAGCAAATCAACCACTACAACTTTTATTAGTAGATAGCTAAAACATTCTGAAAGTCCCAAAGTGCCTGGTATTCTTTAGAAGGAGTTTCTCTTGCAAACAGCTGTTCAGTAAGCTATTGGAAAGGGTACATTGAATGAACTAGAAGAGGAAGGAGGGACAAGGTAGATGTTACAATTAAAATATTGATAGTACAAGAGATGAAATGGAGAAAATGCTGATGGTTCATTTAGCTCTGTATATTAATTTTAAGAACTATTTAGTTGGAGGGAATAGTAGAATTCTGTGTTGGCAAGTAACTGAGGATTATTTCCAGGTGGAAGAATTTAAATTACAAGTAACAAAAGCCTTTTCTAGTTTCAAAACTTGTTAACAGCCTCACCCATTCTAATATTGAGTTACTTAACCATTAACCCCCTATAATCCATCCAGACTCATTGCTTCATGTACTCTAGTATAAACCTTACTGTTCTGGACAAATTTGTCTGCATTTTGTTGGTGGTGATTTTGTTGTTTTTTAGTTTGTTTCATGGTTGTTTTTTCCTTCCTGTGGTGCTGAGGATCAAACTCAGGAACATGGGGATGCAAAGTACTGAGTCATACATACCCCAACCTGCCCATTATTTTTGTTGTTTTTTTTTCACCTGAAATTTGATATCCCTACCTATTGGCCAGTCTACCAACTACACACTACCTTGATCATGGTATCCAATCCATAACCACATATTACATTTAGTTCTCATTTCTCTTTAGTCTCTGAATCTAGAACTGTTCCTCAGCCTTTGTTTTTCACATACATAGCATTGCTACTTTTAATGGTCCAGGTTTATGTTTTAAAGATTGGCCTTAATTGGTTTCATCTGCTGTTTTCTCTTGACTAAATTCAAGGTATACTTTTTTATTATTATTATCTTTAAGTAGTTGTACAAAGAAGTTCCCATTCTACAAAACTGTATATGAGTACAAAGTGTCTGACAACATTGTCACCCATCTCTCCTAACCCATCCCTTCTCCCACTTTTTTTTCTTTACTGAGATTAGATGATTACATAAATTTCACAAATTTCACAGTATTGTGGAATAGTGATACTTAGTTAGAGTCACAAACACATTTTAATTTTCACAAGGTCAAGATACACTTTTAACTGGCAGTAGAAGCAACAACCAGACTTTGCATTCCTAGCCTTTCACTTTGTTATATTCATGGCATTTTGCTGTTTCCTGGTGTCTTCTGCTAAAATTGAGTGCAGTACTTCCATAGCAGCTAATTTAGCCAGTTCTGTATAGTTGCGACTGTACCAGGATAGTCCCAGCTATCTGAATTCTTCATTCAGGTTGAATTAAAATAGGGCTTAAAACTATTTTTAAAGTCAAGGTTAGAATCAAAACAAGGGAAAAAAGACTTGATCAACCAAAGGAAAAAAGGTTAATATGGTGGTGTTTTCTCTTGGGATAAGGAAATTTACATGTATTTCCTTTTTTCATGTGTTATCTAGAGAAGTTTTCAGTTTTCTTAAGGGAATATTTTCCAGAATCTTCCTGAAATTTCAAATCTGCCAAAAGGCATTCAAAAAATGAAAAGTCAAAAGTTTTTGTTGTTGGATAATTTGTTTGGGGATGGAAGGAGTATTTGTTTCAATCTTAATATAAAAGGTGCTTATTTTCCACAAATAATCTTGTTGTCTCTTACAGGGAGCTTATTAGATTTTCTTAAGGAAGGAGATGGAAAGTATTTGAAGCTTCCACAACTAGTCGATATGGCTGCTCAGGTATTTGCATATACAATGTCAATCTAAATTGAAAGTATATGTTTAAAATGTAGAATACATAGAGTAAATGTGGAATCTTAACAGGGATCTATAAATATTATATTTTATGTAGTGAAATAATGGAATTTTAGAAGAGGAATGAACATTGTAGATAATCAGATGTACTCTCCTAATATTACAGATAACAGTATCTTAAGACCAGAAGTCTCTAAAATTTGCATAGCTTTTTGGCAGCAGAACCAATCTTAGAATTAGCTGTAGAACTCCTACTCTAGTGCTGTACTATATCACATGGTCTCTTAGAAAACGTTTCTACAAATGTAAAGTTTATATTCATATTTTAGCAGACAAATTTAAGAAGATTAAAATAGATGTGTCATTTCAAAGAGAATATTAGATGTCTAAAGTATGTGCTCCATTTTTTTATTGCTATAATACAAAACAAAAATTAAGATGTCAGTATACAGTTAAGAATGAGCCTTTGTAGCTCACGCCTGTAGTCATAGCTACTCAGGAGATCTGAGGATCAAGGTTCAAAGCCAGGCAGGAAAATCCATGAGACTCTTATCGCCAATAAACTACTCAGAAAAAGCTGGAAATGGCTCTGTGGTTCAAGTAGTAGAGCGCTATCCTTGAGTTCAAAGAAGCTCAGGAATAGTGCCCAGGCCCAGAGTTCAAGCAAGCCCCAGGACCAGGGGGGAAAAAAAGAGCCTTTGTTTACTCTTCTAAGTTCACTTTCTGTTAAGATTGATGGTAATGTTCAAGGGGTATTTTACTGGTTTCATTTGATATGCTGGTTCTGCAGCTCTTAGTTCCCAGTGAGTATCCTCATGCTCATAGAATCTGGCAGTTCAGAGAAACTTTATGCTGAAAAACTTACTTATGAGACAAGCATATGCCAGGCCTTAACCTCAAGGCTTTTAGACATTGGATATAAGGGGAATCAGCCCACCTCTTTTGTAAAAAGAACAGGTAAATATGTTAGGCCTATATGCTACATAAAATTCTATTGCACTGCCTCCTTTTTTTAGTCCTTATAACTGAATGTGAAAATTAGGCAGGAGATGTGCTTAACATTCAAACCTCAGTATTAGGGGGGAGAGTGAGGGAAACTGGGCACAGGTTGCTCATGCCTATAATCCTAGCTACTCAGGCAGTTGAGACCAGAGTATCAGGGTTCAAAACCAACGTGGGCAGATAAATCCTCAAGATTCTTTTAATTTCAGTAACCAGGAAAAAGCCAGAAGTGAAGGGTGTGGCTTTAGAGGTAGAGCACCCATAAGCAAAAAAAAAAAAAAAAAAACCAAGAGAGATCATGAGGCCAAGAGTTTAAATTCCAGTATCTGTACACACACACACAAAAAAAAGTTATTTTCTTAGGCCATACACTAACAGATTACCAGCCATATTTGCCTGGTATGGACGTGGGCCTTGATGGGATTCTATCCAGAGGTTCTAAGTAATCCCAGATATTTTGTTTGTTTTGTTTTTTGGTGTTGGTGCTGGGGCTTCAACTAGTGGTTAATTGGAGATTAACTGGTGGTTAATTGGACATAAGTGTCTCTTGAGTTTGTCTGCCTGGGTTGGCTTAGAACCTTGATGCTCAGATTTAAATCTCCTGAGTAGTCAGGATTACAGACATGAGCTACCAGCTCCCAGTTCCAGATTTTTTATTTCAGTGTTTTGTTTTATTGTTGCTATTTTTTTCCTCTCCAGACTATGCCTGTACTATCTTTTTGTTGTTGTGGAGAGCATTGAGGTTTTAACTCAGGTCCTCATGATTGTTAGGCTGCTACTTACTGTACCGCATGAGCCATGCCTCCAGCTCTGGTTTTTGTTGGTTATTTTTGTTGTTGTTTTTTTTTGTGTGATGTGTGTGTGTGTATGTAAGTCTGTCTGTTTGTCTGTCTGTCTGTCTGTCTGTCTTTCTGTCTGTCTGTCTGTCTGTCTGTCTGTCTGTCCTGGGGCTAGAACTCAGGGCCTGGTGCTGTCCTTAAGCTTTTTTGCTCAAGGCTAATGCTCTACCACTTGAGCCACAGTGCCACTTCTGACTTTTTGGTGGTTAATTGGAGATAAGAGTTTCATGGACTTTCAAACTGAGATCTTCAGAACTCAAGTCTCCTGAGTAGTTAGGATTACAGGCATGAGCCACATGTGCCTGCTTTCGCTGGTTATTTCCACCTCAGGTGTGTGCTTGACCTGGGCTCTGCCTACAATAGGCTACCTGTCATTGTTAGGATTATAGTCTTTAGCCACTACATCTAGCTTCCTTCCTCAGAGAATGAAGTCTTTCATACTTTTCTGCTCAAGCTGTCCTGGAACCACAGTCCTCCTTCTAGTCTTAGCCTCCTACCTAGTTTTGATGACAGGTGTGTGTCACTGTGCTCCACTGTGAGTTGAGGTCTTGAAAACTTTTCTGCCCAGGCTGACCTTAGACTACAATACCCTTTTCCCAAGATTTTTACTACTATACTGTTACTGTTATCTTTTGAAATAACAAATCTGTTTTTCAGTTATACATCTGACATCAAGCAAAACTGTTTCTCCCTGCTTTCCTTTGTATTATATGTTTAGTATTTTTTTTTCTTTCCAAGATTGCTGATGGTATGGCATATATTGAAAGAATGAACTATATTCACCGAGATCTTCGGGCTGCTAATATTCTTGTAGGAGAAAATCTTGTATGCAAAATAGCAGATTTTGGTTTAGCAAGATTAATTGAAGACAATGAATACACAGCAAGACAAGGTAAAATTACTTCCAAACAAATGTCTTAACACTCTTGAAAACACAAAGTTTTACAAGAATAAGAAGTGTTCTAATTCCCCTCGAAGGTCTTATGGAAACCATTATTTGATTCATTATGCATTAGATACTATCATAGCTTTTTGATAGTAGGAAAGAACTTGACTAGTATCTACTACTACTAGCAAGTAATAGTATTCTCTTCCAGCACATCAACAAATAAAAAATATCTATTTTAATTCCTTTTTAAAAACAAACTTCATAAATCATTGCCTTAAATAGGAAATTTTCAATCATGGATAATATATCTCCCAATCCCTAAGAGGCATGGGAAAATGTAGAAATATTTTTGGTTGTGACAACTCTTACACTACTATTAGCATCTAGTTGGTAAAAGCCAAGTGTACTGCTAAACATCCTGTAATATACAGGCTAACCCCCTTACTCCACTTAACCATGGCCATTTAGGCCAGTATTTCAAAGTTGATAAATGTTGATTTAAGTATCTTTTGTTTTCAACCTCCTACATTCCCTACCTTGATACAGTTACCTCTAGATGGAGTATCTCCTTCCAATCTTTTTGTAAGCAGCTACTGCTGTGCCAACCATGTATTCTACCACTTGAGCCACTTGACCCAGTCCCTTTTAGCATTGGTTATATTGGTTATGAAAGTCTGTATATCCTTCTTTACCTGTGCCTCCCATTTGTTACTGACATGGCAGGATCATGCTGTATAAACACCTACCTTATTGATTGAGATGGTCTTGAGAACTTTTATGCTGAGGTTACCCCTAAACTACAGTTGCCAAGCACCTATGATGCAAGATTGCTTGAAACTGCCATTCTTCTTTTTTTGTTTTGTAATTTCATAATTGTATTTGACATTCTGTGGTTAGTTCTCATCCATGATTATAGATTTTTGAGTGGGACATAAGTTATTAAAGTATAGAGCTTATTTGGGGAACATTTGCTTTCATTACATTTTCTGGATAACTGTGCACAAAATGATATGGGACATTCATACACCTTTGGCTTAGACAAAGCTGAGCTTCTTACTGATAGACACATCTGGAATACCTGAGGAGCACACAGCTGTAAGCCCACTCTGTGGGTGGGCTTGTGAATGTTGATAGTGTTTTTTCAGGTCACCATCTTGTGGGTAGCAGAAAGACCCTTCTTTTCTCTACCCTTCTTTTCAGAAGCTATTCTGCTGGGCCCAAGTTGGAAAGGTAGAGTGCTGTAGTTACTGACTAAGGAAGATTAACACCCAAGTACTTTTTGTTTGTTTGTTTGTTTCCAATCAAGCAGTCATTTTTTTCTCATGTAATAGGAAATTTGGATGTAACAAATCCAGGGCTGTGCAGACAATCAAAGAAGCCACAAAGATAGGAATATGACTCAAGTGTCATATTCATTATCACTTGCTTGCCTAGTAAGTACAGGGCTGTGAGTTCAGTCCCCAGTATTACCAAAAAGATTGATAGGAGAGGCCAGGACTATTGTGACTACTTTTTTGTACTTAGACTGTAGTTGTTACCCTTATGTATTTGTAACAGTGAAAACTCTACCTTGGAGGCTGAGATCAGAAGAAATTTGCTTGAGACCAGGCTTAAAAAAAAAAATCTTAAAACACATTCTTGACCCATAGCTGGATGGAATGGTTCATGCCTGTCATTTTAGCTATAAAGAGCCTAAGATTGGGAGGATCATGGTTTCAGTACAGCCTAGACAAAAAAGTTGATGACACTCCATCTTGATGAAAAAAAATAAAAGGGTGATAGAAAAAAATCACCAGTAGATGTTAGAACCTAACAGTGTCTTTATCAACAATAATTACCTATAGTAACTAGGTATCAAACTATACTTAATAGTTATAGATTTTAGTCAATCTTGATGGTGTGTATCTAAAATCACAGCACTCAGGATCCTGAGACAGGAAAATCTTGAATTTGAGGCTAACCTGAGCTATGTAACAAGACCCTATCTCTGAAACAAAACAAAGTTTTGTTTTTATGGTTCTGAGGATTTCAACTCAGGACCTGGAATTTTCTAGGCAGGTCCTCTACCACTTGAACCATGCCTTCAGCCCTCCTCAACTTTGTCTAAGCCAAAGGTATATGAATGTCCCATATCATTTTGTGCACATTTCACATTTATATTCAGGCCAACCTGCACTGTGATCCTATTTATGCTTCCTACATAGCTGAGACAATAGTCATGTGATACCATATCACATCCAGTTTTACTTATTAAGATGAGGGCTTGCTAACTTTTTGCCTGGGCTGGCTTTGAAACATAATCATCTTGATTTCTCCCAGGTATCTGGGAGTACAGGCATGAGCATGTACCTGGCCCTAGAAGTTACAGTTTTGTTTTGTTTTGTTTTAATCAGTTGTGGAGCTTGAATTCAGGGCCTGGGCACTGTCCCTGAGCCTCTTTGTGCTTAAGGCTAGCACTCTTCTACTTCAGCCTCAGCACCACATTTGGTTTTTGAGTGGTTACATGAAGAGTCTCATGGGGACTTTTCTTCCTGGGCTAGCTTTGATCTTCAGTCATCCTGAGATCTCAGCCTCGTTAGTAGCTAGGATTACAGGCATGAGCCACCAGCACCTGACAGAATTAAAGATTTTATAATCTATATTTTTGCTTCTAGAGCCTCTATTTTCTTGGGTGGTTTTTTTAAAAAAATTACTGAATGTCTTTTAAAAAAAGAACTATAACTTAGTTTAGTATAAATTTTAGAAATTAATTTTCAACATGTACTATCTGGGTTTAAAGACTTTGACATAACACATAAAGGGGACATTGACCCTGTTTACACTGCATTTAAAAAAATGGATTTTTTAAAAACCCAATTAAGATTCCCACTATTGTTTTAGGTGCAAAATTTCCAATTAAGTGGACAGCTCCTGAGGCTGCACTATATGGCCGATTTACAATAAAGTCTGATGTGTGGTCATTTGGAATTCTGCTGACAGAACTAGTAACTAAGGGAAGAGTACCGTATCCAGGTAAGTTTGCATTTAACTAGCTCTTGGTTAATCAGTGACCTTAGCAAAGTATATTGAAACAGGAATGTAAGGAGTAGGAGTTTTTCTTCTCACCTTCTTCTCATTTTGACATTGTATATGGCAGTCAGTTGGAAACTGTAATCTTGGAGATAGTAGACCAAGCACACCTGCTGTCTATGTCCTATGTTCAACTCAGTTTTCTCCTTTAGGACTTATTCAGAAGGACTTTTAATCTAGACCATTCTCTCATCAAAAGCATATCTTAGCAGGCTCATGTCTGTAATTCTATCTACTCAGGAGGCTGAAATCGAAGAATACTGGTTTGAAGCCAGCTGGCGCTGAAAAGTCTATGAAACTTATCAGTTAACCAGCAAAAAGCAGGAAGAGGAAATGTGGCTCAAATAGTAGAGTGATAGTCTTGAGCAAAATTAAGCCAAGTAAGAGCACTAGGCCCTGAGTTCAAGACCCATTACCTACATACACACAAAATGCTGTATCTTAAATGTCCTTGTCACTTATTCCCCCCAGAGTAATTTTTTTTTCCTGGATATGTGTGTAATGGTTTTGGGGTTTTTTTTTGTTTTGTTTTAGTTTTTTTTGCCAATCCTGGGGCTTGAACTCAGGGCCTGGGCACTGCCCTTGAGCCTGTCTGTGCTCAAGGCAAGTGCTCTACCACTTGAGCCACAATGCCACTTCTGGCCTTTTCTGATTATGCACAAACTCAGGGCTTTGTGCATGCTAGTCAAGCACTCTACTACTAAGCCACCTTCCCAGGCTATAGTGTATTTTTGTTAGTATATATTTCCCATTGTATAAAATTACTTCTCAGAATAGTCTATTATCTGTCTTTATTAAAGATGAAAAATAAAAATGGTTTCCTCTGAAAAATAATTTATAGTTTCTGGAGATAAAGGGAAATTTGAGCCCAGCCAAAACTCAGCTATAATTGAATATTCTTCTAGCTTGATATTCCTTGAACATCTCTTGAAGATGGTAATAATTGAGAGACATTAAAGTATATACAATCCATTCTTTGTGGGAAAACGACTATGCGAATCTCAGGACTTTGGGGTATCACCTGGTTTCTCTCCTCTCTGATACCCCCAGCTGTAGGTCAGATCCCATCAGGTTTCCTCACCTACTTCCCTTCTTTGCATCTTGCCCACTCTACCCCAACCATAGCAATTTTTGATTACACCATAGTCTTGATTCTACCACTTTTGCCTGCCCTTTTCTATCTTCATAAAACCAACCATTCTTAAATTTCATGGTCAAGCAGTAACACCATTCTCTTGCAATTATATCTGTCATTTGCTTTTTATTTTACCACTATTACTTGGCAGTCATGGCACCAGGTGAAACTTAGCTCTGCCTACTGAACCCTCAACAAACATCATTACTGAAAAAAAAAAAGCCATATTAAGTTTTACTTTTGAGTTTATAACTATGAGGAACTTTCAAGTTTGAGCCATGATAGTATGGCTAATAGCCATCTTAGCACCTCACTACAGACTATAAAAGATGAAAAATAGTTTCCCCATTGCGCCTCCAACAGAGAGGTCTACAGTCCTTATACACAAATGAGCCCTACATTTGCATCACCTCTCTCCCTGAGGAAGTTTGTGAAAAGGGCATAGGAAACAGTTTCTAAAAGAGTAAAGCCCAAAAGAAAACAGCAGTCTTACTGAGCAAAGGAGATAGAGGTTCCAGTGCTAGAATCCGGAGCGTAGTGTCGTGGGAGAAAGGAATCACCTTTAAAGAACTCTAAAACGCTACTTACAAATTCCCCACCAGTCCTTGCTGAGCTCCTAGTCTGCACACATACAGGGAGAGATTAAGGGAGACCTAACAGAAAATAGCCACTAGGAATTTGAAGAGAGGAACAGAGTTCAGATGATCCAAAGTGCCAAGGAGTTCCTGTACAGGCAAAATGAACAGCCATTGGGAAACAGAAAGACCAAGCCCAGGAGAAAGAGTAAAACTGAACAAAACCAAAGGAAAACCTTGGCAAACAAGAAGCAGGTAACTTGCTAATAGTAAGTCTACTGGTAGAATACAACCTAATACCCTTTAGACAAAAGATATAATGAGTTAGGGAGAATCCACAATCTGTTATTTAAAATGCATAACATAAAATAAATTTTACCAGACATAGGAAGAAAGACATGACATTATTAAGCATTCAGAATCAATAAGGACCCAAAGATTATCTGAATCTTGGAGTTATCAGAGGACTTCAAATTAACAGTATTTAAAATGGAAGTAAAGATTAGCAAAGTGATGAAAAGCTGGAGAATTTCAATATAATTAGAAGAATCAAAAGGAAACTTTAGAACTGTAATACATTATGTGAAATTAAGACCACATTAGACAGACATGGAAGGCAAGATTAGTGAACTCAAGGCACATTAATAGAAAATACCCAAAGTATTTTAGATAAAATACTGGGGGGAAGGGGGAACAACAGTGTATGAAACCATGAACAGGTGATAGTATCTTCATATTAGTAATCCCAGAAGGAGATAAGAAAGTACAACAGTAGTAGTACATAAAAAAGTGATAGCCCAAAATCTAAATCCAATGAGTTTAAAAAAGAAAAAAAAAACTATGAAAGTTAAGCAGGATAAATAAAGGAATCAGTGAACTTCAAATAAGCAAGCCTATCATGGTTAAATAACTAAAGTCAGAACCAAATAGCCCATAGCTTTTTGTCAAGATACATATGAAAGCAATAAAAAATAAAGTTATGTTCTGAAATACTTGGGAGAAAGCTATTGATCTAAAACAATAACTACCTTACAAATTTTAAAAATTCTGAGCTGGGTGCTGGTGGCTCATGCCTGTAATCCTAGCTACTCCGAAGTCTGAGATCTGAGGATCACGGTTCAAAGCCAGCCTGGGCAGGAAAGTCTGTGAAGCTCTTATTGCCAGAAAACCAGAAGTTGCACTGTAGCTCAAGTGGTAGAACACTCGCCTTGAGCTGAAGAACTGAGGGACAGCACCCAGGCCCAGAGTTCAAGCCCCACCAACGACAAAAAAAAAAAAAATTCTATGGCAGTGAGTATTAAAGGCAGAGAAGATGAAGGAGTATTTGGTAATTTATCAGCTTGCCTGAGTCTGTGGATTTGGTCCCTAGCACCAAAAAAGGAAAATCTACAAGAGAAGAAACAATACAATAGAGAATAATGAAAATTTCTTATGTAATCAAAATACAATGCAAGAGGGGAAGAAAGAATATATGGGACAAATAATAAACAGGGTGATAGTTAAATCCACCTATATCATAAATATATCTAAGGGGAATAAATAGTCCAATTAGAAGACAAAGAGGCAAAACCAGATTTTAAGTAAACACACTAAATGCTGTAATTCTGTTAACACATACATACATTGAATATAAAGTATAGAAGATGATTGAAATTAAAAGGATAGCAAAATATACACTATGCAAATGCTAACCAAACAAAAACCTACTTAGCAAGGCCTTTAAGGCAAGAAATATTACTAGCCAAAAAGTCAGCTAAATAGAAAAACAAAAAAATCCAAAATGAGTATACAACTAACCACATAGTTACAAAATGTATATAGTATAAGAAAATTAATTTGATAGTATGTTTTGGTTAAATGTTCAGGTAAGAATCAGAATTTGGCTGGATGCTGATGTGTACACCTGTAATCCTATCTACTTTAAGAGACAAAGATTTGAAGCTCAAGGTATGAAGCCACCCTGGGCAGGAAAGCTCCTGGCTCCTATCTAATTAACCATAAAACTCAAAAGGGGAGCTGTGTCTCAAGTGGTAGAACTCTAGCAAAATAGCTCAGGGACAGTACCCAGGCCCAGAATTTAAGTTCCAGTAGCAACGTGCAGGCGAGCATGCACACTCGCACATACACACACACACACATACACACAAATCAAAATTTGAACTGTTGGTTAATTTTCCAGTTTCTGGTTGGTTGGGTTTTTTTTTTTTTGAGGGGGGATAGGTCTTGCTGAGGATTGAGCCTAAACCACTGGACATGGTAATGAAGAACATACTCCACTGAACCTCTTTCTCCCATTCACCCCTTTGCCTTATCTTATTGCCAGTCATTAAAAAAGAAAAAGGTACTACATAGTCACCATTGTCTTTGATAACTGAAGAAGATTCACACACAGCTCAGATCCATCCACTGCATGTTCTTATTCTATATCTTAGTTGGGGAAACTAACAAACTTTGGCAAATGCAAACAAGTATGAAATATTTAAATTTATTGACAAAGTACTAAATAGTTATTATTTCTGGGAATTTTTCCCTTTAAGAAAGTCAGAAGGGCTGGGAAGGTGGCTCAGTGGTAGAGCGCTTGCCTTGCATGCATGAGGCCCTGGGTTCGATTCCTCAGCACCACATAAGCAAAAAGAAAAAAGCCGGAAGTGGCGCTGTGGCTCAAGTAGTAGAGCGCTAGCCTTGAGCTGAAGAGCTGAGGGATAGCACCCAGGCCCAGAGTTCAGGCCCCACGACCGGACCCAAAAAAAAAAAAAAAAGAAAGTCAGAAGCTCTCTCATAGAAAATATTCTCTTTCTGAAGGTAGACTGTTGCTATTAGAGACTATTGCCACCACATTTTATTTGTGTAACTGTTAGCAGAAAATAATTCTGATTAGCAGAAAATTCTGTAGGGCCACGTTTTGAATGGAAGGGTTTATTGGCAATTAAAACTGAGTTATGGCTCCATGGTAAAGTATATGCTTAGTATGTGCAAGGCCCCAGATTCAGTTCTAGCACATTAAAAAATAAGAGTTAATTAGCAATTGGAAGTTATTGTATAGATTTGGGCTTAGGTTGATTAATCTTAGCAGTCTGTTAAAGTAATACTGAAGCACACACTAAAGAACAAAGGCGTAAGAGTGGAAAAAAACTTAAACTCTCACAGAGGTTAAGTACCTTGCTCCTTTTCTTCTGTTTAGCAACTTTTGGTTTGTATTTTTATGGTAGTGATTTCACTACCCTGAATATCTCAGAAACTTTCTTTAAACTCTCCAAAGAAAGTCAGTTTCCTTTCAAAGAAATTGTTTTGAGGAATCACTTATTCCTGATAAATACCATAATGAAAAATAAAAATAGTTATTTAATTCTTTGCATGGTTTTAAGAGAACCATTGCCTATGAAAAATCTCAATGCTGACAGTCAGTTTAAGATGGAAGGATGGCTGGGAATGTGACTTAGTGGTAGAATGCTTGGGTAGCTTGCATGAAGCCCTGGGTTCAATTCCTCCGTACCACATAAACAGTAAAAGCAGGAAGTGGTACTGTGGTTCAAGTGGTAGAGTGCTAGTCTTGAGCAAAAGAAGCTCAAGGACAGCCCTGAGTTCAAGCCTGGGACTGGCAAAAAAAAAAAATGGGCGGGGGTAGGAGATATGAGGGATAGCCTGTGACATGTAGCAAGGAAAGGTGATGTGGGAGTTAGGAAGAGCTGTGAGTTTGCTGGCTTGCTGAGAATGTCTGGAGAAGAATTTGAAGAAAGATACCCTTTTGTCTACCTGTGACAACACAGGATGAGCTACCAGTGGCAGGGAAGGGAAGAACACAAAACAATAGTAAAAAGAGACAATGTAAGAATAAAGAATAGAGCTGGATTTAAAAAAAAGAAAAAGCTGGGTGCCAGTGGCTCACACCTGTAATCCTAGCTGGTCAGGAGGCTGAGATCTGAGGATCGTGGTTCAAAGCCAGCCTGGGCAAGGAAAGTCCATGAGACTCTTATCTCTAATTAACCACCAGAAAACTGGAAGTGGAGCTGTGGCTCAAGTGATAGAAAGCTAGCCTTGAGCTGAAGAGCTGAAGGATAGCGCCCAGACCTAGAATTCAAGCCCCATGACCCACCAAAAAAAAAAAAAAGAAAGAAAAGTCAAATAGGTCAGATTAGATAAGGAAATTTGTTTCAAAGAAAAGACTTAATGAAAAGTTATATAGTTATATATTTGTTGAAAACAGGACTAGAATTCTTCCTTCTCTGAATTCCTATTTGAAAGTTCATTCAGACATCGTCTTGCTACCAGTAGCCCAAGTGAAATTATTGCTAAGTTGCATTATCAGAAAACATCAGTATCTCAGAATTGTACTCCAGTTATTCATTGGTATTAAAAATAAAAGTATTAAAACAAAAAGCTTAGACATTAGGCATGTTAAAGATTATTTTTTTGTCCTTCTTTGGATATACTCTTACATTTAAATTTTCTTTCTTTGTTGAAAGAATCTTCTAGTAAATAAACTTAATATGCCTACAATCATTCAGTGCTTGGGAGACATACTGTGTTAGGCACTGTGTTTAGGACATTGTGTGTAATGTCTGAATCTTCTGTGTTAGGTATGGTCAACCGAGAAGTGCTGGAACAGGTCGAACGAGGGTACAGGATGCCCTCCCCTCAGGGCTGCCCAGACTCCCTCCATGACTTGATGAATCAATGTTGGAAGAAGGAACCTGATGAAAGACCAACATTTGACTATATTCAGTCCTTCTTGGAAGACTACTTCACTGCTACAGAGCCACAGTACCAGCCAGGGGAAAATTTATAATCCAAGTAGCCTGTTTTATATGCACAACTCTGCCAAAATGTAAAGAACTTGTGTAGAGTTCTTCACATCCAGGAATCAGAAAGAAGAAAATCTTCACTCTGCATGTTTCTAATGGTAAACTGGAATTCCAGATACAGTTGCACAAAACCACTTTTTTCCCCAAGTGTTAAACTCTAAAGTACCAATGATGAATTTTTCAGCTTATTTCGGGGTTCAAAGAAAGAAAAGTTAATGATGGCAGTGTGAGTGAGGGCATGGTAAGAGCGCAATAAGGCTACTACTTATAATCATTTCTTTATCTCTATACTCACCATTATTAAAATTATTTATTGTTATAGGAAAAACTTGAGAGGTAAAAATTTTTACACCACAGTAAAATATAAAAATAAGGAACTTTTTGGGACCAAATAATTCCATTCCAGTGTTTTTTTTTAAAAAATCTTGCATTTATTATTCTCAAAAGTTTTTTTTTATGTTAAACAGCTAATATGCAGTCTTAGCATATATCTTCCTTTTGTGCAGGAATGGGCCAAGGTTTCTCAAAGCCAAAAAAAAAGGATTATAAACAACTTCTAATTCTTATGTTAGACCTCAGCAGGGGAATTCAAAAATATAATGCACTGTGCTCATACTCATAGTATGGAACTGACAAGTACAAAAATATTTTCAATCATTTTCTGATTAGTTCACTTTAGAATAGGAAAGGTAACTAGAAATGAGTTAAATCTTTTATAATGTTTCATTGCTTTTTTAAAAGGCAATATATAAATGAATTGTACTGTCCAATCCGTGGGAAAAATCTTTCATCTTTACATAGCATGAAAACTAAGATCCAGCATTTAAGCAGACCATTTTTTAAAAAAATGCTTGGTACTGTGAGATATTGCTAATGTGTTCTTATGGGAGTGGGTGCCACAAATAGAAAATATCACCAGATCAGGGACTTGAATGCACTTTTGCTAGTATTGAGTATAGAAAGAAGAAAATGTATTTAAAAGAAATAGGAGAAAAGAAAATGTGAAAGTTTTACAGATAGAGGGATGGAATATGTGTTTAGTGTTGATGTCATGGGGTGACAAATGGCTTCTTTGCTGGCACTCAGAGCTCCTTACTTAGCTGTTTTCTGAGACTTTAAGACTGAAAGACTAATTTCTCTTAACATACACACTAAAGAGTGCTAATCTCAAAGTGGTGAAGCAAAGACTTCACACTAAACACAGCTTTTATGCAAAACCTTTGTAAAACTGCAGTTTTCACATCCCTGTTTGAATCTTCATAAACATTTTAGCTATTCTAGATGGTTATCATTTACCCCTTTAGAATATATTGATTTTAAAAGGAAAATATATTCTGAATAATAGTAGTAATTTAAAAGGAGGGGACAGTTTTTGCCCACTTAACAGTTCAGAAGTGACATATATAAAATAAAGACTGATTTTTCTGGCTCAGAAAGAAATTCCAAATATGGATTTGAATAGCAGCATCACTGGTTTAAGAATCTAGCAAAAGAGAAACTAAATCTGATTTTTAAAAAGTCTAGTATTTATGTTTTAAAGTATCATATTTTATAGTCAGACTTTTTTAAACATGAGACTCCCCTTTTTCAACTTAGAGTTTTAACTATCACTGTCTCATTTATCATTAAATTTAGAATTCTTTGGCATGGGATGTATGTTTAAGCTAAAACAATTTTAAAATGTAACAAATGAACTTCATGCAAGTTGGCAACAGTTCTGTTACCAAACATAATAGTTCCTTCTTTTTTTCCTATAACCTGTTTAGTGTTGCATACTCTCTCCCCAGAGGGTCTCCTAAGAAGAGTGCCATCATTATTGCCCATATTGTCTACAACTGTGACATGTGTGTTCAAAGGGCTTTACATCAACTATGATATGGTAGATTTTCTAAGCATTTTTAAAAAGGTAACAAAATCATGTTTATGTACTAATTCTGATCATTTAAAAAAAATAAGCCAACAAAAGTTGATGGTATTCCTTATATTTTAATTGAATGGAGCAGTTCCTTGTAATAATAATTGCATTGGAAGGGTAGAACACTAACTTACTGTGTATTAGGTTTGTATTTTTAAATTGCCAAGAACAATGAACTGTTTTGTACATTAGAAGATTGTTTTCCAACAACTTTCATTTTTATTGTTTTAATGTGGAACTTAACCCTTACCAAAAATGTTGGCGAAAATAGCCATCTAGCACACACTTTTTTTTAACGAATAATGGTAGCCTAAAATGTAATATTTTTATAAAGTATTGTAATATTGTTTTGTGGATAATTGAAATAAAATTCTTGTTGAATGCACCTATTTATCTTTTCAGTCAGTCTGAAAATGCACCTATTTATCTTTGTCAGTCGTGGGGCCTGAACTCTGGGCCTGGGCACTGTCCCTCAGCTCTTCAGCTCAAGGCTAGCGCTCTACCACTTGAGCCACAGCACCACTTATGGCTGAGGATTCGAACCCAGGGCCTCATGCATGCAAGGCAAGCGGTCTACCACTGAGCCACCTTCCCAGCCCCCAATTATTTGTAACTCTTGAGCAGAGTTAAATGAATTCTTTATTAAATTTAGAACAGTATCAACCTTTTTCTTTGTGGTTAATTTTCCATGCCAGTCTTTTTTGTAAGTATTTTCTTTTTCTAAAATTATGTCAGCAAATAGTCATTGTATAACACAGAGAAACTTAAGTGCATTGAACAAATCTTCACAGAGAACCTGTTTGAAGATACAAAGTAGAATCACCACTTTTGACCAAAAGGGACTTAATTTTTTTTTTAACTGCAAATGTGTGAGCCACATCTCTGTGTTTTATAATTCATTTGTTATTGGTTTACTGAAAATAAAATTGTTACTAAATTTGAAATGGTCAAAGCATATGTGATTTTTCAGAACTGTAATTACATTAATTACTTTGTACTATTAAATCATCTGAAATGGTTCTTCACCTTTTTCCTGATTTCTGAAAGTTAATATTAGGAATGTTCATGCTTCTTTTAGTAATTAGTTGTTTGTTTACTTACTTTTTGACTTACATTTTGGTTAGAACTCAGGCCCTCAGGCTTCCAGACTGAGCAAACATATTATGTGTTTTTGTAATAGTAATAGTTCCTTCATTTCAAAATATTTTTCTTCTTTGCTTTTTAACTGTTACATGTACTTTTTGACACAAAAGTTGTACATTTATAGGTACTAACACATTACTCATTTTTTATACTTAGGAAGCATTTATCCACTAAATATTCATGTCATCTATGTTACACTTTGTACTCTAAATCTTTTGATTTACTCCAAGTTGAGTATAAAATGTGACTGCAGGATCTTGTATGAATTTTCTTCCATATTATTAATTTTCCTACCACATTTATTGGTTAACCCATAATGAGCTCCTTCATTATATATGCTTCTGTTAATACCCAGTGAATTGGTCATCTCTGCCATCAACACACATAGCACTTTTTTTTATTACTTTTGCTTGATAATGCCTTTAATAATAAGGCAGGTTTCCTTTTCTTTTTTTTTTAATTCAAAATCACTCTTCTTGTCCCATACATGTAACTCTTCACCCTTCTCTAAGCTTTCTGTGTGGAGATGGAAGATGTCTGTCATCTTGTGTGCAGTTACACTGTTCTACAGATACTTTCCAGTGTGATGGAAACCGTAATAGAAGAAACCAGAGATAAAACATAGACACTGTGCATAATAACAGTTATTTCCTTAAAATCAGCTCCTTCCTGTCCTTCCTCCAGTGTATCATTTATCTGTTTGTTTGAGCCAGCAAGTTTTTCTTGTTGGCATCCAGAGTCCTGATTAATATTAAAATTGTTTTAATAGAAAAGGGAATAGTTGTCCTTTAAAGTAAGCATTCCTGCTCACTGCCATCATTTGCCCTTATATCCAGATCTGCCCAGCTTCTGGTAGAAGGCTGGCCTATACTTCACTTGCTCTGGTTTTTGTATCAGGACAAGGAGTAAGAGCTCTGCCAGATCAAAGGAAACCAGAAAGAAGGGACAAAGTGTTTCCTCCCTGTGAGTTTAGGGTGGCCATATCCTAACAACAAAAGGTTTTGTTTCCCTATGGGCTTCTCCACGTATCTCTCCTTTGGTAGCAACTCGCATTCTGTATCTCCTTTGTCTTAGAGATGGTGATAGTTTTGTTGCTCTCAGCCTCGCCCAACTTAACTGTACCAGTTCTAGTGATTCTAGTGATTCTCACTGACTGCCTTCTGTTTCCAGTTAAGAGACCTGACTGGTTATTTGTCATAGCTGTATTGAAAAAAAAATAGTTTCATCAATGCATTTTATACGAAACAGGAAAAGCTTTCAGTACAGTAGCAGTTCTATGGTATTGTAGCAAACACAAAATTACAAGCAGGATTTTAACCATGGAGATAATACACCAGATCTTGAATTCAGCCTGGGCACTGATCCTTGGCTCAAGGACGGTGTTCTACCATTTGAGCCACAGGTCTACTTGTGGCTTTTTAGTGGATAATTGGAGATAAGAGTCTCATGGACTTTACTACCTGGACTGGCTTTAACCATGATTCTCATATCTCAGTCTCTTGAGTAGCTAGAATTAGAGGTGTAGGCCATTTGGAGGCCAGTGAAGTTTTTTGTTTTTGTTTTTTTTTGGGTCCGGTCATGGGGCCTGAACTCTGGGCCTGGGCACTGTCCCTCAGCTCTTCAGCTCAAGGCTAGCGCTCTACCACCTGAGCCACAGCGCCACTTCGGTCTTTTTTCTTTTTGCTTATGTGGTGCTGAGGAATCGAACCCAGGGCCTCATGCATGCAAGGCAAGCACTCTACCACTGAGCCACCTTCCCAGCCCCTCCAGTGAAGTTTTTTAATTTACATAAATTTAATTAGCCACATGTGATAAAAAAAGTACTGAGAAGTATTTGCATAAAAGAAATAAGAGATAAGTGAGATAAGAAGAAATAAGTGAGGTAAGAGATGCTAAGGAAGGAAATGGAGTTTTTAAAAACCTAGAAGCCTTGATTTTGGTATCCTGGGTATGGTATATATGTTTATGTGAATTAGGGAAGGGAAAGGGAATAACAAAACGATGAGACAAAGGACAAAGGGGGGACGAGTGCAACAGCAAAACAAGACAGGATGTTGGAAATTATCTGTTCACCTCTGGGAGGGGATTGGCAGGGAAGGGAAAGTGGGAGAAAAATGAGGGAGGGAGGAAGGGAATAACAAGTTTGACAAGAAATGCACTCACTACCTTATTTATGTAACTGTAACCCCTCACTTTGACAATAAAATTTTAAAAAGCCCAGGAACTTAACAAGACATTAGGAGCTAATGTAAATAACATAGGTTCTTTCCTTTTACAAAAATGTATACTCAGTTTTTAAATTATTTGACAGTACTGGGCTTTGAACTCAGGGCCTCATGCTAGGTAGGCATCTACAAATTGAGCCACTCCTCTGGCCCCTCTTTGCTTTTGTTATGTTTTGGATAGTCTTCTGAGTTTTGCCCAGCATTGGTCCTCACACTTGGATCTTCCTACTTATGGCCTCCCATGTAACAGATTACAGCTGCAAACTCCTATGCATGGCTTGGAGATGGAAGCTGGGCACAGTCCCACTTTTGCCAGGGCTGGTCTGGAACCACAAGCCTCCCAATCTCTTGCTTCCTGAGTAGCTGAGATCACAGGTGACCTCTAATACTCAGAATTTATTTTTTTTTGGGGGGGTCCAGTCATGGGGCCTGAACTCTGGGCCTGGGCACTGTCCCTCAGCACTTCAGCTCAAGGCTAGCACTCTACCACTTGAGCCACAGCACCACTTTCGGCTTTTTTTCTTTTTGCTTATGTGGTGCTGAGAAATCGAACCCAGGCCTCATGCATGCAAGGCAAGCGCTCTACCACTGAGCCACCTTCCCAGCCCCAATACTCAGAATTTTTTAAGATGCATGCTGGGCCTTCCTTGGCTACCTTAAACCTTCAAAGCATACAGTCCATGGGTTGGTGGCATTTATAGAAATAAAGGGATTTCTACAATTTGGCAAGAAGAAACAACCAGCTACAAAAAAAAAAAAAAAATAGGTGGGGAAGTGGTGCTGTGGCTCAAGTGGTAGAGCACTCACCTTGAGCTGAAGAGCTGAGGGACAGCGCCCAAGCCCAGAGTTCAAGCCCCACGACCGACGACAAAACAAAAAAAAAAAGGTGGATTTCCCGCTGTAGTTTTAAATGTGGTAAGGAAATAAATAATATGCCAATACAGAAGGTGACTGAGTAAGTAGGAGCAATATAAGTTCGCTTGGCACTTCCCAGAGCTACTGCGAAGGATACTGGATCCCCATAGGGGAGGGGACTTCCATCCATCTCTGCTTTGATCTGACAGGTTAATTTGAACAAGTTGGAAGGTTGTGAGAATTCAAAATAGAAATGTGCTATAGCTTAAATGGTTATATACATAAAATGCAAGATGGTTTTATCAGAAATACAATACTAAGGAAGTGGCACTGTGGCTCAAGAGGTAGAGTGCTCACTTTGAGCTCAAGAGCACAGGGACAGTGCCCAGGCCCAGAGTTCAGCCCCAGGACCTACCAAAACAAACAAACAATACTAAGTCATGGAGTTGACCAAAGAACTAATGGTGATTGCTTCCCACTTTGTGTCAGTACTGTAGCTTGAACCCAGAGCCTTGAGCTCTCACTTTGCTTTTTCATTCAAGGCTAGTGATCTACCAACTTGAGCCACTCTCTCCACTTCTGGCTTTTTTTTTTGCTGGCTAACTGGAGATAGAGTTTAACAGAATTTTCTGCCCAGACTAACTTAAAATCACATTCCTCAGATATAAGCAAGAATTACTACTGGTGGCTGATGCCTGATTAAGTCTTCGGAGGAAGAAATCCCTTTGTCTTTTGTTCTCTCTCCCCTCTCTCTCTTTCTCTCTCCTCTCTCTCTCTCTCTGGCAGGTGGAGAGGGGGAGTGGTAAAGGGGGCTTGAACTCAGGGCCTTGCACTCTGCTTTACCTTTTATTGCTCAAGGATGGTACTCTACCCTGTGAGACACACACCTCCACGT